AAACCAACCAACCAACAGCAACAACAAACAGCACTAATCGCCATCAACGAAACTTGAAAGAAGTTACATACTTCACTTATCTGGTTATGAAGCATTGTTTTAACTACAAGCGATGACACGAACGAAGATGTCAAAGCCAGCTAGTCACAATCGGAAAGGCAAGATACTCACCTTCACCAGTCTGAAACCAGTTGGGAAATCTTCTGCACTGAACTCCGCATAAATAACAAGATTCGGATTTCCAACACAAATGTCAATGAAGTCGGTCACTTCTCCTATATGAGTCAGAAACTTGCACTGCGTGTCACGAAAAGGATTTCCAACAGGCGACTGCAAACTTTTATCAACAGCTGCCACCTTCACAGGTTGGCTCCATAGTGAAGACCAAATGGCCATAAAGAATAAATAACAAGAGACTCTGCCTGGGAAGAAACCAACCAAGAGCCGATTGCTCAACAAATATGTAGGAGAAAATGGAGATGGATCTGGCATAACGTTGAGGAGGCCATCGAATGACGTCATGCACAATGCAGACCATCGCTCGAGTGGAATCCTAATAAGAAACGACGAGTGAGTCGTCAGTGTGAGGGTGATATGGAGGAGATCGTGTGGAGAAGAGGATATGAGAGATTATGGGCAATCGTGGACTCAGTTGAAGAGTATGGCAGAAGATAGGACAAGGTGGAGATGTGTTATTGACTTCAGCGAATCAGGGATTGACTTGTTACCAGCAAACAGTAGTCTCGTTGACTTAGAATATGCAGATGATATAGTCCTTCAAGGTGAAGACGCTGAAAAAACAGAGCAGAGTCTTCCAAACACCTTGAGTAGTATGAGATTCGCTTCTGTTGTCAAATGCAAGATGATGTTACAGGACTAGACTACGTTGACTCCTAGATTAAAATAGGAAGTGGAATGGCAGAGCATGTTGAGCACTTTACTTATTTGGTAAGTTGCATCAGCCACTGCCAACGGATCAATCGCTGACGAATTCTCAGCACGGATACAGAAGACTCGTTTGGCACTTACCAACTCAAGCTATCTATGGCGTAGACGTGATATCCGGCTGACTATCGACCAAAGGACGTGTATACTGCTCAGCAGTTCTATCTGTCTTCCTTCATAGCTGGCTGTGAGATATGGCTATTGAAAGTGGAAGACATGAAAAGGCTAGTTGCCTTTGATTATAGATGCCTGCTGTTAGGTGGTATATAATGGGGTGAGTAGTAGAGGTTAAGTGTCGAGTGTTAGGTAAGGAGGGAAGGTCAATCGATAAGGTTGCGAAGTTATATCGATTGAGATGGCTAGGAAGTTATGTGGGTAGAGGGGAATGATGCTCAGGGGGGCTTCGTGTGCTTTTGGAGGTTTATGGGCGGTTGCCACTTCCCGGCTGCCAACACCGTGAGAGTTGATTCATTCTTCGAGTACTTGACACAGAAAGAGAGTTAGTGTTGCGTGACCGCAGAGCCCAGGGGACAATTGCTTGAGGCCTGTCACACAATGACTGTATGAACTGGTTTATTGGATTGGTTTCGTACTAGCAAACTTACCACCGGTTACGGACCACCGTAGGGTAAGTCGTGCTGTACAATTTTTGGAGTGTGACAAGTCGAACTGCTGCACATCTGTGCAAATTTCTATGTTGAAACCAGTCAGTCAGGGGAGCGGAACCGATAAGACACTGAACACTGGAGCGAAGAAAAGTGCTATGGAAGACGCCATTATGATGAGTTGACAACTGAAGTAGAACAGGCCGCAGGTAAGAGAAACCTCGGAGTGATACATTAGATAATCAGGTCGCTATCTGGGAAAAGACCAACACAAACGAAGCCAATAGAAGATACTAAAGGAAACCTAAATACCAAAGAGGTGGAACAAAGGAAACACTGATTTGATATTAAAGAGTACTTAAATCGATCACCATCTGAAAACGTCCAAAAATACCTCAGGCAGGTACAGGACTACCACTGAACACCCAACCTTTAACAAAAACAAATCTTAAACGCCGTAAAGTTACTGAGTTGCGAGTGCAGCATAACCAGTTGGAATCTACCAGGAAATACAAAATATTGGCACAGACCTTAGGAGACATGCTACTCGCCGAGTGGAAGACGGGCTATCTTGTCAAATATTAAGGAAGGTTGGCTCGAGGCTATGGAAGAACCAGAATATTAAGGAACGAACTCACAAAAATCACGATATTTTAGCCTATCACCCTATGATGATGACACCGGTTGTTATTGGTAATAAGCAAAATCTTGCCCAAAAGTCCGAATTAATTCAGTGCTTTTAGTTTTGGATCTCCCAACTTTCAACAAAATAAGACATAAGAAATTTAACTACAAATCTCCAGGTATGGATGATTTTATAGTACTGCTGATATCTGGAGAAATCATAGCCAATGCTATACTAGCAGGTCTAAGCTTTTGGAAGAACCAATCGGAAGTTTGTGATGAGACTAGCCATTTATTTTGGATACTGAACTACAATCTTAAAAGGACTAAGTCTCTGAAATGGACCTTGCAGGTAAAGATATCAAAGTCATAGACATCCCAAAGCTTGGGTTTATGTTATATTGTCTGCTTAGAATTAAACAGACACCAGTGGTTTGACATTCAGACATTTAGAAAGTTCACTAGATGGTCTACATAAATAAAGCAGTTAACTGTCTCAGGATTTAAATACGATAACACCATTGAAATAATCAATGTTAAGCTTACGGTGCATGGCCGTTTGAAATAAGCAGACTTGAATTCATCTGCCATAACACCAAACTCTTGGAGAGAGTATGTCTTGCTGGACTGAGGGAATCCATACACATCCATAGGGCCGCAGCAAATATTTCTAACACATTCAGGACATTTCCATTGGCATTTTGGGATAGAGCGAAGAGGTGGGTTTAAACAGTATAGATGATAGCAAGCTTGACAGGTATCCGTGTCACAAATGAGTAGATTTGTTTCATCATCACCGCGGCAACAAACGCGACAATTATACTCATCGATCTGTAAATACAAGTTGTTAGAACTATGAAAACCTACGTTGATTTCAGATACGAAACCTATAGAAAAAAAGGATGATAAGCTCAGTATTTATTAGAACATACTTTTCGGCAGCTCCTCAACAGGCACAGCAGCTTTTGGGCCTGGGCCAAAAAACTGTAGGTTTTTCAGCTCCTTGCTGGCTGAATAGTTGATCTTGTTCTCCTACAAAATATAATTCATGTGACTTAAACTCACATCTGTTGTATTTTTGTAGCGTTTGTAACTGCTCGCACGGCTTATAGGACGGTGAATACCCTACATATATATAAAGAAAGAGTTCAAGTAGAGTTACCTTAGCTGGTTGGGTTTGGTTAGAAATAGTTTGGTCAAATGATAAAAGCAGCTTCTCATAATTATTTCTTATGGACTGAGCGTGGCGAGTCTGATATCCTAGTTTTTCTGCAATAGTAGGCCAGGAGTGGTTGTCACATGCTTGACGATATCCACCTGCCTCTGCTACTTGTTTATGAAGGGCGTATAGGTCCAGATAACGTCCGGCAATACTGGGGACTCGAATTTTCTCTCCACCCTGTAAGTTAAGCGTCGTTATAAACAGCACGTACTTGTAATTTAACAAATTTGTACAATCGACTAAGGAAATTCAACTTGATTCGAGAATGAGCCTAATGTGTAAGTATTTTTAAGTTACAGATTACCTCTAGTTCATACAACCTCTGGATTCGAGGTGTGAATGAAAATTCAGCCATATTTACAGCAAAAGGTGGATTCCAGCACTGAAAAGAGAAGGAATGAAATGAGTGAGAGATGTAAATTATAAAGACTAGGAGCTAGAAAACAGGGATGATTTATACTCTGAAAGTGAAAATAACTAAACCCAGAAATATTGTTAAGAGTAAATTTTTAAGTTACAAATGAACAAATTAAATTAAGGTCAAACTTACTTTTGGAGGGACGATTTTGCATATGCCTGTTTTGATACATATTGGCCGTATTTTCATTAAATAAGCGAGAGGATCTTTAAATTCTTCAGATGTGGGGTAAAACACAGGAGCCTCAGGTGGTGGGACAAAGGTGAAAGCACTTGGCATTTTTTAACCCTAAACAAAAAGAATATTCACCGATCAGATGCTTAGCAATAAAACTGTATTAAAGAATTCAACTATCAAGTTCAAAAATGTCACTAAGCACTGGTAAGAATTGCAAATCATGACCAACCGTGCAGAATGCAGCCATATAAGCAATGGCGGTACTATGAATTATGTGGCGGTAGTATGAAGTTAGGGGAGCGTATTAAGGCATAAGATGAGGTCAATATCCTACTTAAGTGCGAGGATATTTCAGCTTGCAATATCAAGAGTCCTCAAGTATAATATAGCTGTTACGTATCTTCATCATTATTAAATCATTTAAAATGAATACCTATTAAAAGCTCAACACGGTTTATCACTGTGAATTTCGGATTTTTCAATTTCACAATCACCCTAAAAAGTAACAACTTATGACAAGTAATACGCGAGAAACTATCAAGACTGTTAACATTTGTTCATAATCTAGAATAATGAGGTCTAAGGATAAACATTACTAACCTTGAGGTGTAACTTAGGATAAAGTTGCTGAGGGCTACCGTACTGGTAGTCCTGGTTGGTTCAATATCAGGAAGCGTGCAATTCAAATCAAACGTTTTATGATATTTCACGCTCTACGAATCATCCAGTTAATTTTTTCACGTTATTACACCATAAATGTAACACGAATTATGTGGTAGACACTCCCAGCATGAACAAAGTACAGGCTTGCAACAGCAGTCAAAATCAAGTGACCCCGGATCAACGCAACTGTAGCGCAAACTATGTATATCGAAATTTTCTTTAATTCTGTGTTCCAAGATTTTATTTGATTGAATACTATTAAAGTATTTGTCACGACAGATATAAAGGACCTTTTTAAATACCGGGGTAGTGCTCATTAAAACTAACCATTTTTCAAAGGAGCTACGTACAAATGGTTAATGTGAGTTCCGCGTCTGGTTGCTATGATGTTTTTTTGTTGCACTTTAAAGACATATATGACCAAAAGTCACTAAAAATCTTCTTTTCTACACGTTTTTAGTTAAGTACTACTGTTCAAGAAGCCGCAGCGCGTGAGATAACGCGTATTGAGCGTATTGGTGCACATTCACATATACGCGGTTTGGGCTTGAATGATGATTTGGAAGCTAGACAGATTTCACAAGGAATGGTTGGGCAGTGTAAAGCCAGGAGAGCTGCTGGTCTTATTTTGGGTATGATACGTGAAGGAAAAATTGCTGGACGTGCGATACTTCTAGCTGGTCCCCCTGGCACGGGAAAAACAGCAATTGCTATGGGTATGGCCCAGGCACTTGGGCCTGATACACCCTTCACTGCAATGGCTGGCAGTGAGATATTCTCGCTAGAAATGAGCAAGACAGAAGCTCTGACACAAGCTTTTCGAAAGTCTATTGGTGTACGTATCAAGTAAGTCTTTTGATCTGATACCTCAATTTCTTAGAGAAGAAGCAGAAATAATTGAGGGTGAAGTTGTTGAAATACTAATAGATCGCCCTGCAACTGGGACAGGCGCTAAAGTTGGAAAACTAACACTTAAGACAACCGAAATGGAAACAGTATACGACTTAGGTCAGAAAATGATTGAGTCTCTAACAAAGGAGAAAGTTCATGCAGGGTAAGCATTTCCGTTCAGTCTTTTATATCTTGTTAGTGATGTAATCACAATCGACAAACCTTCTGGGAAAGTTACAAAATTAGGCCTGTCGTTCACCAAAGCTCGAGATTTTGATGCCACAGGTGGTCAGACAAAGTTTGTTCAATGTCCTGAAGGAGAGTTACAAAAACGAAAAGAAGTTGTTCACACAGTCACTTTACATGAAATCGACGTAATCAACAGTAGAACACAAGGTTTTCTAGCATTATTCAGTGGAGATACTGGAGAAATCAAGTCGGAAGTCAGAGATCAAATAAATCACAAAGTAGCTGAATGGCGTGAGGAGGGGAAGGCTGAAATTGTTCCTGGGGTAAGTTTTCTACTACTCATCAAGTTTTATTACTTGGTGATAGGCAATAATTAGCTCCTCGTTTCAAGTGTAAATTTTGTCAGAAGTGCATATTAGAATAGACGTTTGTTAGCCAGTTTTTTCTTTAATTTTTCTATGATCGACTTAAGCATGTTCTGATTCATCTTGTTTTCCATTTCAAAGTAGTATATTCGACATTTTTATGTTAGTTTTCTAAAGTAACTTTTGGACTTTGAATAGTAGACTCAATATATTTACATAGCAAATTTGATGTTAGACAAGTGTGGAACGATTTTTAGCTATTATAGTGACTTTCAGGGTGCAATATAAGGAACATCGACGGCTAACCCCTGGCAATCACTAAAATGACTTCCACAACTTCCTAAAGTAATGTATATTCATGAAACTAATTTGGCTTTTTCTTTAATATATGCAATATTCCTTTTTCTTCCTAAAGGTTCTGTTTATTGACGAAGTACATATGTTGGATATAGAATGCTTTTCTTTCCTTAATCGGGCTCTAGAATCTGACATGGCTCCTGTCCTTATTGTTGCTACAAATCGAGGTATCACCAGGTAATTCACTAATTGATTTTGTGTGTAACAAATCCTCAACTAGTATTTTCTACTCAAGTTAAAATAGTTGATGTATTTCTTAAGGTCTGACTTCACTCACTTTCATTCATCATCTCAAAACAGTATTAGCCTATTGAATACCTGATTGAAAACTGGGTAAAAGCTGACCCTAATTTCAGTGGCTGAGATCCAAGTGATAAACAAAGATGTATTGGGGTCTAGTCAGCTTAATTAAGTTCGGAAAGTGTTATTGTAAACTTCAGTCACTGTTGGTAAATTTCAGAGATGTAGGTTAAAATTCACACTTATGGTTTAGTTCTTTTATTGCTTTTAGTTTATTTCTGTCTTTTATATTCTTGATTTTCGAGTCTGTTTTCAAAAGCGACTAGTGTCCACGTTAGATTAAAAGTTCATAGTTTCAGAGGTAACATTATTTTTCTATCATAAGTTTGTGTATAGACTTAGGTTACCTTTGGTGATTTCTTAACCTCTGTCTACCTGTTGAAAGTGGGTTGAACAGCATTTTGGTGCTAGACATCGCTATGTTAATTGTGATATCTGATTCTTGAGGTTTTCGAGGATTCTAATCAATCATAGTACTTGTTTATCTACTGATCACATATACTGAGATAGAACGATTGGAAATTCAGAATATGGTTGCAACTTTTGAAGTATCTGTTTGCTGATCGTGCAATGGGCTCCGTAATAAGGAATAACTAAGTTAACGTTTACTCGCACATTAAATACTTCTGACCTCTGTTTTTCTGTTCAGTCATACTTCAAGGGGAAAAGACATTGTGAATCAAAGCAAACTGCATGAAAAATTAGTTTTTTTGTTTAGCTGTTCACTTCAGGGTGAACAACATGATGAATTACAATGAAATTAGGAGTATTGTTGAGTAAAAAGGATGTGTAAATCGATAAGCTCGTATAGCTTTATCTACAGAAATAGTTGGTATACTTGTTAAACTTGTTGAGTCGTCCTCTAACTAGATAAGGCTAAGTGAAGTTTGATTAGGTTGTGACTTAGACGAGAAAATGTCAACGTGTTTAATGTAGGCTGATGTAAGCCACATAGAGAACCTTAGGTTAATGGAAATAAGTTATTTAAAAGGTGTATTGGATGCCCAAAATCTTTCACGGCAGCGTAGATTTGTTCTCGTTATCTTTCGAGATTTTGAAAAGCTTCATTAGTCTATGATTGTTCTGTTCTCCACACCCAAGACTCACTGTCGTCACATTTCATCCCTTGTGTGCTTTTTAAAGTGAAAGTTAAAGTGATTCATCTGTCAATCATGGCTTCCCAAACCAGACATTAATCAAGATCACCCAGCTTCTGTTTACAGCAAGTAGAACAAGACTATTATAGTTGCGCTAGAGCTCATAGACTAGTGGCTTGTCGATTCGGATACATGTTTACTGGGTCCAGAGTTGAACTAACGACTTTTACCATTCATCCTCCTTCTTATTATACTTAAAATTGAGCTAATACACGAGTTCACATGCTCTGGCGTCATAATCGGCTCAGCTGTGATCGAATCTTGAGACATTGGTTGTCAACTTGTCTTTCTATAACAGGTACTTGCATCCCCTTCATATTTTTAAGTACTTATGCTTGCTTTTTTACAACTCAAGATTCTTCATATTAACACTAGTTGCTTAGGTGGTGAGTCATGGCTTACTTATATTGGTTACCTCTTTGACTTTATACAGAATTCGCGGCACAAATTATCAAAGTCCGCATGGAATACCTATTGATTTGCTGGATCGGCTGCTCATCATTTCGACCGAGCCATACACAGACAAAGAAATCCAAGCGATTCTAAAGATTCGATGTGAAGAAGAAGACGTTGATATATCAGAAGAAGCACTGCTTGTGCTCACTCGAATCGGTATGCAAACATCTTTGCGTTATGCGATTCAGCTTATAACTACTGCGAATTTAGTGTGCCGCAAGCGAAAGGTTAGTTAATTTTATTAACTAAGTAACCAAAAGATGTATAGAAGTTGTTCATTAATTCTAGTATACTGTAGAGAAGGTAATTTTTATAAATAATATTGCTGGATGAAGCATTATAGTGATCTGCATAGGCCTCAGTTTTACTGTTTCAGGTGTGATCTCTTGTCATCATATTTTTTTAGTATTTTCAGTACAGTCGTTATAAGCAAAGTGCTTTCATATAGGTTATATTAAAAGCAACTGATATGGAAAATGTAAATTCTATTATTTAATAATAATATGTGACCAATAACTAAGGCAGATTTGAAATTTTCCAAGTATCACTTCTTAGTATTAGTAGTACCCAAATTATACCTTTTTTTAATCTCAGGGTTTGGAAGTGAGCAAAGAAGATATAAGAAAAGTGTATTCTTTGTTCATGGATGAAGCGCGTTCTACCTTGTTCCTCAAAGAATACCAACAAGAATTCATGTTTAACGAAATAGCTGAAACAATGGCATCAAATTCAGGTTAGTTCTTCAATCTCATTTCACTTCGCTACTTGTGATACTTTTATTATTCGAATATTATCTATGAAAGTACAAAATTAACCATTTTAGATTACGTAATGTCTGCCTTAGTCCCTAAAACCTGTTTTGGAATAACTATCTTAGTAACGGCACCAAAACGCATGTGTTTACGCCTTAGGATGTAAGCTGTGGTAGTAAAACTATAGCTTTCTTTAGGCTTTTCAAGGTTATCGTATCATTTAGTTTTTTAGGTCAAAACCCGCTGAAAATCTACACAAGTCATTTACGTGTTAACTTTTCAAAGCTGCTAATTTGCAACTAACCAACTTAGGTCGAGGGATCCTTTTTGAATACCGATATAAAAATAAAACTCACAGGACTCATTTTTCTAACTTCAGATTAGAGTCTATCCAGCTATACTGCCGATGTTTGAATACATTTTTCTAAATCGAACATGTCATGCAATTAAAGTTACTTTTGTTTGGTTTTTTTTCATTTACAGGTGACCAACCAAATGCCTAGTAACTTCTTGGATTATTGCACTCCTGGATATATTTGTGTGAATAGATTTGACTTTTTATGCTATTTTTATCACTGTCCATTTGCTCGCTTCCTTAAACTATGTATTTGTTTAGGTTTTCACTTGAAATAAATGAGTTGCATTCGATACTTCGTATTATTACCATTTACGAAACAAACTCCCAAATTATGCGTACCGTATCCCCGTTTGCATAACTAGTTAACTGTTAAGATTATTCAAAACACTAAGAATCTTTCGATATGCGAATAAATTGACTATGGTCATCTTTTCGGTGTTAAGTAACCAGTTTACGGTGCTACTTTTTATAAGTTAACAGCCATTGTATTGCGTTTGTTAAAAGACACTTGTAATCTAGTCGCGACAAAGCATTTCTGAGTGCTTGCAGTTTGGTTTCGAGCTACCTAGTATTACTCATGTTTACTACATGAAGTTCTGAGCACTACTGTCTACAGCTGTTTGTGGAATACCTAGTGAATAATCTACAAATTGTGCCATATCAGATACATTAGTATGAAATCACTACGTCACAGACATTAAAAAATTCTGCTTAACAAAAGAATGCCCTACTAGATAGAACCGAGTGTTTTCTCTATGTAATATAAATAGTTGGTTGATTTATGCTATCAATGCTTTCAACTTTACCGCATGATTTCTAAGTCCTAATGCTTCGATTGCGGGTGACATCTAAAAAGTCACTTTCTGCATCAAAGTCCTCACACACCGGTCTTTTTAGATACTCGCGATTTCGTTTTATTGGTAGTAATGTTAGTAAAGTTGTGACTTAAACAGTGTAGACCTTTACCCTACACTCTTCTTGCTTATATTCGCACTACCACACAATCAGGATTCAACCGCATTTGACGTTGTGCGCAGTTATTTATTTCTACTTAGATGCTACATAATAGGGAATACAATATAGTTTTATTGGGTATTGTAATTCACAAGGAGTGGATGCATCTGCGCCATTGAGAACGATTTTGAACCATGTTGTCTCCAGCCATCGGTGTTTACCGTCCCGAGGATCCCAACCAGGAAGTCTACACCTTCCTACGTGGATAGCTTAAACTAACTTGTGGATTTCATTGACTGATAAATCCGTATTTTGATTTGACCACCACTGGCTCTTTTCCAGCCTGACCCTATGTCAGTTAACATTGCCGGCCGAGGAAGACGATGGCTAGGCATGTGTAACACATGTCATAACCATCTCAGTCGATGTAGCTTCACAGCCTCGTCGATTGATTTCCCCTCCTTACCTAGCACTCGACCGAAGCCTAACCTCAATATTACTCACACTATTATACCACTTCACACGGGAGATAGAACGCAGGCACCTATGATCAAAGACAGCTAGTCTTTTCATGTCCTCCACTCTCAATGACCAGGTCTCACAGCCATAAAGGAGGACGGAGTGGACTGTTTAGTAGTACACCCACCCTTTGGTCGATAGCCAGCCGGATATCACGTCTACGCCAAATACGCGTAAACTGGCATGTGCGAAACTAGCCCTTTGTATCCATGCTGAGATTTCGTCATAGATCAACCCGTTGGGGCTGATGCGACTTACCAAACAAGTGAAGTGGTCAACACACTCTACCACTTCACTTCCTATTTCTACGCTAGAAGTCATTGTAGTCCAGTCCTGTAACATCATCTTACATTTGGCGGGGGCGAGTCGCATGCCAGACATTTGTCGATCAACTCAAGGTGTTCAGCAGACTGCATTTTGTCAGCGTCTTCACTTAGAAGGACTATACCATCTGCATATTCTAAGTCAACGAGACTACTATTCGCTGGTAAAAAGTCAATCCCTGATTCGCTGAAGTCACTTAGGGTTAAGTCCATTAGTGCATCTATGATGAAGTTGCATAGAAATGGGGATAATTGGCATCCCTGACGGACACCACTAGTTGTCACCAGTTCAGAATACAACTAGCCGTAAGCCCTCACCTGGCTGCATGAGTTTGAGTAGAGTGTCTTGATCAGTGCAGTGTATTTTCTCGGCATTCCCTTTGCAGCCAAGCATCGCCATAATACCTCTCGATCGACAGAATAGAATGCCGCCTTTAGGTTAAGAAATATAACGATTGTTGGACGCCTGTAAGTATGCCTATGCTCCAGAATTTGTCGAAGGTTAAAGATATGATCAATACACCCTCTTCCTGGTCTAAAGCCTGCCTGGTTCTCTCGTGTTTGTGCCTCCCGTGCACCGCTTAGTCTACGCATTATTATTGAGCCTAGAACTTTAGACACCATATTATTCAAGCTAATCCCCCTGTGATTATCACAGGAAGACTTGTCTCCTTTCTTGTATATTGGGATAACCAATGACTTAAACCAACCCGACGGGACTTCCGCTGATTCCCAGATGCTGCCTAGTACCTTAGTTAACGCAGACAGTAAGCTGTCTGTCATTCCACTTGGTCCCGCAGCTTTGCCTCATTTCAGACTAGTGACAGCCTTAGTAACCTCAGTTAGGGACGGTGGACCTGTGTCTATATCTCATTCAGGGAGGTGTTGGATGTTCGGTAAGTTGAGCGCGGCTGTAGGCCAATTGAATTGCTCCTCAAAGTGTTCTTTCCAACTTTCTAGTCGTCTATCCTGAGAGCTAATTATGGTGCCATTTTTCTCACAAATTTGTTCACTTATCTTTTGCCACCTGTTTTCCTGACAAGCCTAAATACAATACAATACGTTATGTAGACGTGATTTTTGATATGAAAAAGCTTCTGAAGTGCAGAAATCTAAAATTTAACTCAATCTTTTTGGTATTTGCATGTACACTACGAAACTAGTTTCTCCATGCGTTCCTTTAGGTTTTTAGACCCATCAGTACTTACGGTGACACGACTTCCTTCTGGGAGTCCAGTTTAACACAAGAAAATCACTACTTTGTGGTGTATACATAATATTAAATAGTTAAAATAAAACTTAGATCACAAATGAAAGAAGTTAATGCTCATCTGTACAATAATTAGAAAGTTTGCTCAAGTGTGGATTACATAAAGTGCGACATGGGATCATCCCGGTTCACTTTTATGCGATAATAAGCTTCCATTTCTTCTGCAGTTGGTGGTTTGACTTCAGCAAGGGAATTATATGGTCGTTTACGTTCATCCATTGCAAGGTATTCATCTACTGCTCTTAAGCGCTCTCTTTCTTTCTTTATAGCCTCTTGGATTAAGCGCTCCTGAATTTTTTCAATATCTTCTTCCGATTCTGTAGATGAACTCGAACTACTGCTACTACGCCTACGTTTACGTTTGTCTTTTGAGGACTTCTTGATATGATCTTTTCGTTTTTTCTTCTTGTCAGCGCGTTGTGCACGAATGCGTTCTCGCCGTGCTTCTGATCGAGCTAAATCTTTATCTCTAGCTTCCTTGGTTTTTGTGTCTACAATGCTTTCATCCAAGTCTGTTTCCGATACAGACTTAGAATGTAACTGTTCCCTAACTTCTTCTTGGTTCTGATCATTTCCACCAACACGATCTACTGATTCATCTTCGGAAGAGTCGCTACTGGAGCTTGAAGATGAGCTGGAACTAGATCGGCTTGAAACTGACTTGCTTTTGACTCGTTTTCGTTTTTTATTCTTTGACTTTTTATCTGCATGAGACTTTGAATTTACTTCATTATCAGAAGTGACATCCGCATTTGTAGGCATAGGTGGGGGTTGCAGTAATGCCACTGCTGTAGGGCCATCCGGGACCTCTGGGAAACTTACTTCTTTACTTTTTTCTCCTAAACAATAAGATTCCTTGATCAGTGAGTGGCAGCACCGATAACCCCATTGGCCATTGAACCAATATGAACCCCATACACTCTGTACAAAAACAAGTGGTGAAAACAAAGGGACAATTCTGTAAGTGTACGCTTAATAGAGAATGACAATCATAATAGCAGAAAAAGTGGTAACACACAGCGTAGAGATGGACGAGATTTACCTGTCGCCCAGAGTTGGCTACAAACTGTCATTTGAGAAGTATTTGTTTTGTAGGGATTTTGTTTGATTGGTTGGAGGATTTCATCATGAGCTGACATCATGTAGAGAACCATTGGAAAATCTGGGAGTACTGGGTAGTTGTTTCGTCCTAGTTTCGGACTCTTCATCGGTACGCACCCACCGACAGGGTTCGAACCCAGGACCTTCTGGCTACAAGGCGGGCTCGTAGACCATCAAGCCACTGGGACCCGATCTAACGGCCCATGTATTCTAACTTATGCCGATTTACGACATAGCGTGACCACTTCGCAATGTCTTCTTCGATGAGTAACTGTCCTTACTCTCAACCTGCTGTACCCTACTGGTCACGGCTTCCCACTAGAACCCCAGGTAACTGCCTGAATAGAGCCAGTCGCTAGTGAACATCAGATCAATTTTCTAGTATTGGTTTTGTAGGGACTTAGTTTGATTGGCTGGAGGATTTTTCACCACTTGAGAAGTTGATTGCCTACTACGATAAAACATATTTCCATAAAACCTTTAAGCAAGGCTTAGTTTAATAGAAATCATGCTACTTAGTTAATACAATACTGATTTAAAAGATGTGCATCGGAATAGCACACTAACAATATATGATATATAGTAAGTGTGAGTCGTTGCTGGTTGCCACATAAAAGTAGGTATCAGAACAGAAAACAGAAGAAACTAATCTCTGGAGATACCAACAGTCTGAAAAATACAAACGAAAAGAGTTTCAGTAGAGCTGTATACTACTCTTAAAATAGACAGCGGTGTAAACAATCACAGCAATCTAACGTGAATGCCATTTGATTAAATTGTCTGACTGACTGGTTTCAGCATAGGACTTTGCACAAAAGTGTAGCAATTTGATCATCCCATGATTTGCCTCTCCTGAATCCAGCCTGTTCCGGTGGTCGGAGATCTTCATCCAGTGCATCCTTTATTCTCTTCAGGGTGATGTGACTTGGCGTATTTAATTTGGCGTGGACAAGAGCATTATTCCACGCCAGTTGTTGCACAGGCCTAAGTCGCCCTTCTTTGGCAGTTTGACGAGGTAGCCCTTCTTCCAATCCGTAGGCACCTTTCCTTCTTTCCAAACTTTTTGCAGTAATGGAGTGAGAAAATCGGCCATAATCTCTGGGTCCGTTTTCAGTGCTTCGGGAGGAATGCCGTCTGGTCTTGCTACCTCCCGGACTTCAGTAGCTTGATCGCATTCAGGATTTCTTCTTTCGTTGGAGGAGTCGTGTCCACTGGCATTTCTGTGTGTGCAGTTGGTGGTATTTCTGGGCGAGTTGCCAGTGGTCGATTCAAGGGTGCCGGAGATGAATTGTCCACTATGATATACCGATGTTTGGAAGAGCATCTTCTGACTGGAGCCACAAATCTCTTCTGTGATTTCGCAAAATATCTCCTTTAACACTACTGTTATCCTGAAGTTACGACGATGCCATGTGTTATTTAGTCGTGCAACACTAGTCGCGATCCCATTGTACATTCTCCAAGAAATCCATCCCCATGGTGTAGGCATCTGCGGAGAACCAACTACCTGCAAGTTTCCATTCAGGTTACATTTACTCTAATGATCTTCCCCTCTTTTTAAAACTGTTAATACTATTTTTTAAGGTTACGAACAACCTAAGCCAGTACTTTTTTCAAGACTACACTAACAACATTTAAACTCAATGTAGAATGTGCCAGTTAGCTTCACTAATTAAAACCCTGTTGTATCTGTGATATGTATACAAAAGTTAGGTGTTGTTATTCATATCCGTTTCTGGTCAATACGGAGGATCTGCTAGGTGCCAGGAGACTTTACTGCTAGTCTTTATGGCCGTGCTACCATAGATAACTATGATATATCCTATACAAATGAGGTTACATATGTATACAATATATGGGTGCATGATGACTAAATTAATCAGTCACAACTACGCATCAATAAACACTACGATTTCGATAAATTGTGTCACGAAAGTTGTAAAACAGTTCATCAAAATTTCTTAAAAAATTTGAAGCAATTCCAAAATAGTAAACACCTACTGTATGATTGTTAATGAAAACATCTTCTTCATAGCGGGATTTAACTGTTGGTTTTTCAGCCCCTTTAATCATGCGACCAGTTGGTGAGTACTCAGCATATGATTCCCATTGACCAAGTAATAACTCCTTGGGTGGCGCTTCCAAATGTTCATGCCCACCATAGCGCTCAAGAATTTCAGCACGCACTTTATTTTGGACATCACATTTAGCTTTGGATACTTTTTTGGCTAACAATTCCAGACGAGTTGGATCTGCCTAGTTTAAGAGGAAAATAAACTTTAGATGGAAAAATTGATTTTTCACTCTTATAAACGTAATCGAATCATGAATTATGGGTATATTAGGTGAAGTGTAAATAGCTGTGCTGTAACATGAACACGAAAATCTTTTCAGGGTAATGAAGATAATATTTACACGCTTACTTGTAAATGGACATCCAGACCCAGCTTGTCATGCATTTCCCAGGCAAACACTTGTCTATCTATCATGTCCTGAACTTCACCATCGTAACGTACAAAGTTGTCTCCAGCAAAAGGCACTTCTGATTCCGGTTTCCCACTATTTTCGAAGGGATTACCGCGCATAGCGCGGGTTTTTGAGTCATAATAGGCACTGTTAGGGTCCAGGTTGAACAAATACTTAGCGGTGTCCTCACGAATACGCAGATTACGTATAGACTGACGTTGTTTACTGTCAAACTTCTGACCAGGCATATCTAACTCATCACCATATCTGTCACCATCTTCTGCATCAAAGTCTGCATCGTCATCTAAACTGGGTTTGGCGGCAGACGCTGCAGGTTCTTCCTGTTAATAAATGGAAGATTAAAAGGTCACTTTGAGCATGAAATAACACACCAAAACCATTTTATCGCTTTTTGGAAAATTATTTTAGGAAGATTTTTACTCAGATGAGGTTATTTATGCAGCAGAACAGGTAAAGAGATCTCCACATTTCCTACCAACAGAAACAAAATATCACAGTGATCACAATCAAAACAAATAAGTGGAAGCTACAAATTTTTCTGATGACGAATACCTACTTCAATGTAATGCATTTTAAACTGTCACAGGTGATAATGAGTCAGCAAGTGAAATGCGACCCACTCAACTCAGTTAATGCATATACTCTCTTAGGATGCGTATATCTTAAACGTATTCTACTCCATGATTTAGCAAACATGAATGGTTTTAGGAATATGTATGCTTAGTTAAGTAACCAATTACTGTATATTTTCACTATTAAAAGGGAAAGGACTGACTGACTGGTTGCGACATAGAACTTTGCACCGATGTGCAGCAGTTCGAGTCGCCACACTCCATGTAGCACACAAAACATGGGAAAGGTGTATTGCATAAGTTAACAGGCTTGTATTTTTCAAAATAAGTTCCTGTATTGGACTCTCTTCTAAACATGGCATACATATAAACTATTTGCATTTGATGCAAATACACAGTTGTGCTTATTTTCTAAATGAAGTGAGTGATCTCCAGATGCAACACTAACTTTCATCCAGCCTCAATCCAAAAAGAGCCTGTAGTAGTAGTTTGGCATTAAAAAGAAAGAGAATTTGCACGCAATCGCTTTCACAAGGTGATAAATAAATTATTTCAACTGTTCCTTAATCATACCTGGAAAAAATATTAGTGAAAGTGTAGCTAGTCATTTTCATGTGTGCAGGATCAACATAGAGAATTTCGATAATTCATTCGGTCACCATATTAACTGTTATAACTGATTAGAAGGCAATTAGACAATCAAACTTGACTGATCGATTCATGAATGCATTAAATGTCGGTATGCACAAATATTTACAGGTCATCAAAATGTGTGATTCTTACCAGTAGGTACATGAGTTGCTTTCAAGTAAACATTCGTTCGCCTTCAAAGAGAAACTTCAGTTACAAACTCTATAGGCCACAGATGCAACCATCTTTTATTAGATACTCGAATTATACGAGCATAATTTATAGAATATTGTTATGAAAGAACACAACGAACAGACCTTCAAATATTTTACAAGTATTATGCTTGGGCATTTTGTCCACGTGAGTAGTGAACTACAGAGATGCTTCGAAAAATGAAGTAGATTTCACTTATTCCCTATTTACAAAACTCTGATCATTTTCTCAATCACTTCTGGTCAGAGGATTGAACTAGAAACTATACGCGAAGGATTTAAAGGATATTACAGATAATAAAATTAACAAGAGTACATTTAGTACAAGTGGAAAATTCCAAAAATTATCTAGTAATTTAGTTGAAAGTAGAATGATTGAAGAATATTCGCCCTGTTGTCGCATAAATGACTAGGTGTGGAAATCAATAATACCTACTGTACGAAAGATTATGGCACTAACTAATAGCTAAGAACTACACAGACATACAAGTTTCAGACCTATTACACAACAATTGAAATTCGAGTGCATACGGCACTGAGTCACTCCTTCAACTGTTAAAAAGAATACCTGATATAAAACCTCATTCTCAAACAATTCCCCAACAAGTACACAGTCAAATTGTTTGAAATGTATTGCACAAGTTAGTCACATTTTATAACACTGCTTCTTAATTGTACTATCTAGGCTCAAAGAATTAACTATTTGAAGTTAATCTAAAATGATTAATTGAATAGCAGTCCTTCAAATGAAATAAGGTTAGGCTGAATGTAAGGCTTTCTTTATAATTCAACGGATACATATGCATCGGTGACACAGCGGTTAGAACTCTCGCCGACCATGCACATGGTTCGGGGTTCGATCCCCTGCCGACGCACACCTGATATCAATTGGTCGGCCCGAGAAATTTGGGCTACCGACGTCACATGCTGAAAATTTCATACTTGTACCAAAATTACCGTGTGGAATCAAGCTCTAATAAAATAATAATAACTGAGAATTCCTCGTGATCATCAGCCTTACGCATTCTTTATGTATAACAAAAGAACTTACCTGTCCACCGCTTCCTTCTGCTGCTTGAGCCAGTTTCTCTTCTAACTTTTTCGCTTTAGCTATTTTTCTTGCTTCTTCAAGTCGCTGATATTCTTCGAATATCTTTTTATGTTCAGATGGGTCGTATCCATTCCATCGATCACGTTTACCTTCGTAGTCCAACTCCAATGTTACTTGTTGGTATTCGTCAGGAGCAATATCAAGACCAGTATATTTGGCACCAACCTAAAATGTACGATATCAGACGATCAGTCATAACATATCTCATGGATAAAACTATCGTCCACGACGTATTTTATTTATCTTATGTGCCCACTGTAAATTACCATCATTTTATTATAGAAGTTTTACTAACTTGACTCAGGAGCTACAGAATACAACCTGAAGTCTTTTTATACAGATGTTGCTTCTTTCGCTCCAACGCCACATAATCATACTGAAAAATCTTCCAGACATTGATATCACGCTCATACATATCCAACATCTAATCAGGTAATACTCATGGTTGGTGCGGTGGTATTTAAATACTTCTGTTAGATCTATCACTAGTTAGTGTTTTATACTGCACTTCACGAAACGTGCCTTATAGTGAAGATAACTAAACATACGTAGAACATCTCGGATTACACACTTGTAAGACAAATTTAGCTTCTACATGTGGTTAAAATGTGAAGTGACTGTTCGTTAGTTTAGGACAACATGTCAATATGTAAAAAGATTAATGATGATACCCATGCACTTTTATGGACACATACGTGATCAACCTCTGAGGTTTGTAGGAATTTTTTATCTTGTTAGGAAATGAATAAAGTAATTAGATCTCCCTCATTGACTAGTAGCAAGAGAAAGATGAGTTCAGTCTGGGATTAACAAAATACTTGTCAATGTCATTTCTATATATTTTGTAAAGTACTTGGTAGAGTATCAAATAACAGGCTGCTCAAGTTTCAGAATCGCTAATAAATTACTCATTTAGATCAAAGTATCTCTCGACTGTAGGAGATGAAGTAAGTATCAATTTCAACGTCTCTTTCTAGGTAGTAGTGCTTTGGGACGCAACACCGTTTTGTACTGTTTATAATACCGAAAATAATCTGAACATCTGAATGGCTCCTATAACTAGTTTACCATAAAAGAAATGAAAATGACAAAATTTCTTCTAGAAGTACCACAGGTTTAAGGCTGACATAGCCATAGTGTGCTGAAGTCTAGGGTGCTTATAAACGCGATCTCTTCTGTTTTTCCAACCCGAACCACACAGAAGACATACCAGGAAACAGGCAGATTGTGTCACTGTGTTGTGTTCATTCCTCGATACATCCATTTCCTTTTGGGACTAACTCCCACAAGTGCTATTTGTTTTTGACCGATTAGCTTAAGATGGGGATACAGAAGCCCAGAAAATTAATGGAAAGGGATTAACATGTGCCTCAAGCCTTCTACCCAACCAAATTCATGAAACCCTGGACACATGTAACACATTAGATAGCCGACGATGTATGCAGTTTTCTTGCCATTTGGCAATAACGCACGCTTTGCATAAAAGCCTTTTAACTTGCACAAGTGAAAATTCTATTACTCTAATTTTGTTCGAATTACTCCTCATAACTCTGGGGAAACTACACAGATCCTTTGTTAATCCTGATATATCGTACATGTGTTATCGCTATGCAACAAGTGAATCAAATCTACAAGGCTTCGATATAATAGCAATGTTACATGTCCCCATACTTAAACTAATCTGTATATAACAACTTGAAACAGCGAGTACGATATTTTCGATGGAATATACAGGTGTATACACTATAGTTATAGCAACAGAACTTTAAAAAAACAAACCTTTCGAGGACGTTCCAGACAATCTTTCCGCTTATGTGACATAGATCCACAATTTTCACATGCGCCATCACGGTAGTACGTGACAGTTTGCTTGGCCTGAGGTACTCCTCTTTTATACCACACATTCAAAGCATTTGAGCCTTTCATTTTGCCAGAAATTTCTTCGCGTTTTTTCTCATCTTGTATCCTCTGATGACGTAAGGTTGGGTGTAAAGCACCGTAGTACCAGGGAGCCTGCATAATATACTGTGGAATATGAGGGTTAATATCTCTCCCTTCTTCATCTTTCATTGCAGGCATAACAGCTAGCTTTCGAGCTTCCTCTAACTCCTTCATCTTTCTATAGTCATCCTTGCTCCTTTTCTTTTCATCTCCTTTGTCATCACTCTTGATTCGTTGCAGCAACGAAGGAGGAAAGTTGGGGACGAAAGACATTTTGCTGTAGCCTCACAGTTAGAATTGCCCGGCTGTAACATGACCTTCAAGGTTGCTGTAGACAAAAAATCAAGTTCTTTGCTGTTATCTTCAGCTATCAGTCAGACAGATATCATTCTAGATGCTATGCTGGCAATGGAGATTCAGATAAACAGTGACATGTGTGACGTTATGCCAGTGATGACTCGCGTTGCTTAAAGTTGCTATCTGATAGCACCCAGGATCCACTTTCAGCTTTCTGGAATAAAGACAGAAATTCAATGGGCCGGTGTAAAGACGCACAATCGCTACCAAATAGCAACTGATGAAGAATAATTTTGACGTATCCATTTTCGTATAAGAGGTTCTGTAGCGGTAAGTAAATCCCTAAAATTAGTAGCTTACAGCCGAGTCTTACTCGTAATGGTAAATAGTATAATTAAGGATCTTATCAAAGTACCTACTTAATTCAATGCAGAGGAAATCGGCCTCATCATTCCTTTTCGTATAACTTTCTCATACCACGTAAACTTTGGTCAGTGGTAACTGGAATCTAGGATCTGTTTTGTCATATGAATAGTAGCATTACACACTACTCTGTAAATTAGTACGAAAACTGAACTAATAGTTACGTATTAGCCTGATAACTGTATATTCACTTACTTAATTTGGTGGTTGGTTCGACTTACGTCCAATTAGTGAAGGAGGAATGTTATGCTGACGTTTTTCAAGGGATATGTTTATATCTGGAGGATAAGAAAGATAAATTAATGTAAGCCTAACGTTGGGCTATTTCATTACAGTTCAGTCACCAAATTAGTCTCCAATGAAATTTAAAATTCCAGCATTATTTTTCGTTAACTGAGAACAGTAGAGGTCAACAAACTATACAAAATGTTTCCATGAATTTTTCACCTTCTTGCATGTTTATTTCAGAAAATATACCCCTGTTATTCTGTATTAGAACGGTCAAAATGAAGTGTAGAGTAACCTAGGCCAAATCAGATTCAAATATCATTCTTTTGGATAGTTAATAACTATATCTTTCATTTATAGCGGAAAATAAAAACCCTTCCATTCTTTTTGCCGATACTGGGTGGTCGGTCCATGGTAATGTTAGTAACGAGTTGATTGGGTAATAAACCAAATTATTTTCGAGAGACTGATGTTAATAGTACTCTGTGAATTCACACGAATGGGTCATGTGTTTTTAAAAATAGCTTGAAATGTAGGTATTTATCTAATAATTGTGATATGATATGAACTTGCAGTATGCGAAGCATCTGTTAGTATTCACGTTAAATTTGATTACCCTAAATTTCAATTCGAATGAAACTTCTCATACTTTATGCTTTGGAACAGATCAGATCTAAAAATTGAAGTTTTTCCTGAGTAATGCTCGATGACAGGTCATACCAAGTGATTTAATTTGAAAATTTCTGCACAGATAAATTGGCTTCGTGTTGGTCGTCTTATGTTATATAACTTCTACGGAGAATGAGATTATAGATGGTCACTTATATGACTCTCTGGGATCAAAATTTTTTAGTTAAAGATAGTGGAGGTCAGTTGACCGCGGAATGAAGCACTGTTCCTTGGGGCTGAATAGACATGCATTGTGCTGCGACTAAAGCTAATATTACAGTGACATATTGCTGCAAAGGTCTGATAGCATTTTGTTGGTTATTGTCTAACTAGACCAGAATAAGTCTGCAGTCATCACACTGTAGCCAACTGATTGCTTGGAAAATATTCCCAACACTAAGACAGTCACAGAAGTGATATTAAATTGTGACAACTTTTATAATTCACAATACAGATTTAATTATTCTCTACACATCAACGCAAATTTAAACCATAAACAATCAGCGTCTAACTGATTACATCAATCATGGTTCCATGACTAACAATGATATGTTGTCCGTCGTAGCACATTCGCAGTATATATTTTGAAGTGGAAACACTGTTTGAACGCTGCTCAGTTTGTTGTAGCCCACTTTTTAAAGACCAACGTTACAGGTATGCTAAGGATGTTGCTAGTCTTGAAAATCAGTAGAACAGTTGGAAGTTAGAAAGATTTGAAACAATGCTAGTAGTTTATAAGCCTAGCCAGAGGTTCGCATTCATTAGCAAAACTCTTCGTTTCCGATCTACCTTGTAAGTGATGGAACCAATTGTTGACCCATGCTTGACCTTAGCATTCATACCAGTTATCGGGGCAAATTGGCTTTTCTTGATGTCGCAAACTCCCCTCCTCAACCATCGTTAGTTGGGGAAAACGGGCATTCGTCAGGAAATAAGAATATATTTATGTGAGTAGCTCTAAGCTAGAATACAGATACAAGTAGTAATATCCTCCTGTGACGTCATTAAAGTTGTGAACACATCAGCGATGATTAGAAACTGTTGTTTGAACGGTCTAAGAGTATGTGTAATACTCTAGAATGTACAAAAGCCTCTAACATGTGATGTAAGGCTCTTATATCAACGGAATGATGAACAGTAACCGAAAAAGCATTATTCTGGAAAATATATCTTAACCTAAGAATTTGAGTACTGAGTGAGAATATATTTTTACTGAACGTCACAATACATAATTTTTGATCACTGAATTCGGTAGTAGCGTGTTAAGGGTGTTCTGTTTAAATAAACTAGTTAATGTATTTGGGATGTCAACCCAAATTCGGCCAGCGAAATTGAAAATGAAAATTTAGGCAGAAAAATAATGTCCTGAAGCATGTTGTTCATTCATCAGTGAATATCCCGAAATCTTCGCAGTTAAATTTACAATAGTTGGTAAGCAGCACCTCACCATTTCTCAACCTAAACTGCTGTTTGTCAGATGTAGTCAAAGGGAAGGGGAATACAAACTAGTTGAGAGGATGTCACTGTTTTCAAATGTCGTTCAAACTGGTGAAACTTTATGTATAATCTAGCTGTAGGTGTAGCTCGAGACGAAGTTTTTCGATATAACGTAATGTAAGGCATGGTAAGTTCGGCAGTTTTCCAATGTCTAAACCATGCTAGTCTTATTTCAGGTTGGTTGTGTATCGCGCAGGGATCGGTCGCCCAAGACGATACAACAGATGACCAATAGGAATGTCCCTTCTCTCTCACCTGATTGTATTATGACTGGTTGTAAATATAATGCTCGACCCTGAGTCTTCGTTCTTATTGGCACATGGCACTTGTGTGGTCACTCTGCTTACGTGTTCTATTTCAGATCATCACTTGGCGATCGGGATTACAGTAAGTCACTAATATTACTTTCAGATGTTGGAACGGCTGCAGCAGCTGTTGGTCTTTCTAAACATCTGTCTGACTTACTGGCAATAGCAATGTATAAACAGATTAACCCGCATGAAATGCGTACCGTTTTTGCCGATATGGTCAAACATGATTGAATGTAAAATCCTAAAATGTCGGTAAATGACCATTGTTTCGATATTACGAATAGCTGATTTATAGTACAACTTATCAGTACATGGTCGTAAGGATGGGAAATTGTAAGGCCTCCATCAAGGCTGAGAGGAAAACCTAAGTTTTATTTCATTTTCTACGGGTCACAACCAACCAGTATTCAGGTATATGCGACACACACGTGTCACTGAAGGGAATTTCTGGAAACGTTCAATGACAGTGTCTACGCTGTCTCGTGTTTCTAGTCTTTTTGTGGTAATCAATTTATTGACGTCACCTGGTGCATGGAAATATTCGTCCAATAGGGTTTCAAAGTTCCGGAAGTAGTCTCATATTTCATGAAGACTAGTGAAGGTTTAGTAAACAAGTTTACCATATTTCGTTCCTTTTCTGAAGCTGTATATATATATATTTATTCCTGTTTATGCAGGAACATACCAATTGTACAGGCATGGATAAGTTATTATATAAATTACAGTTTGTTTGTTCAATCTAACATTAGAGTCAGTCAGAACAGTCTGCAAAATAGTTTGTCTGTGTAACACATAAAGAGATATAGAAATATTGTCTTCGCATTAACAAAAAAAAGCTTGAAGTCAATTCTATAAAACTTTGTTGTGAACAGCATCCGTGAGATAAAGTTTATTGATGTATTATTTTGATTCAATAATGTATTTATTCCATTTTTGTCAGCAGTCTTATCGTAGTTTTATAATAGGAAAGAAATTTGATCTTTGATACGAAAATTAGATAAGGTAATGTTAAATTGTTTTACTGCATCAAATGGGGTCAATTCTAGAACTATCCATTTGCGCCATTTGCGTCAGCATGGCAGACTGTACATGTGAGTTGAGTAATACATTGAAAACTGTTTGAAAACCAGTTGTTTCTTTATATCAGATCAAGAATACTCCTTGTACAGAATGTTGGCCAGCGTTTTCAAGTGGTTGCAACGGATCGTTCATGGAATTTGAGTTTGAATTTACTTAAATGGTCATTTCAGTTTAGATGATGGGTTGTTCGACCTCGACCAGGAGATATATAGAAGTGCAAGCTCAGGATATAGTAACAGAAAGAGAAAGTATGTAAACATGAACAGGACGCATATTGTATACCTCACGCATATTGCTTATGCCACTAGACATTTATTTTTGTTTATTAGATCTCTATCCTGCTGGTGAATATATTCTTCAGGTAAGTTAGCTTGACCCCATAAATTAACTTGGCTACACTGAAAACACAGTGTTTCTCGACTGTGGATCAAACGCCCAGTTATCAAAGTAGTTGTTTTTCATCCTATTATATATGGACGATCTCATCTTCAATGGAAGATTGGAGATTCTCAGTAAGCCATGAAACTTTTCAACGTAATTTATAAAGGTCGGATGACAGGCGGTGGGATAGATTTATTTTGTCTTAAGGTAGCCACCAACTTTAAAAATGAATGATTCTACAAGTGTGTCCTTGGGTTTGGTATGTTTTCAATGCCGAGTTAGTTTTTCTATGACCGTAAGTGCTGGGGTATTATTCTCATTAACAGCAGTTGGCCACATTCTCTTAATACACTTCATGCATGTATCAATTAGAATGAATCGGCTGCCTTGCTAAAACAAAAGTGTATGACCGAAGCAAACCT